CTTACGGTAAGTAAAACCTTCGATCATGATACGAACGTGACGGTGGAGCTTTACACTTTTAATATTCCAATTATATATATATATATATATATATATATATATATTTGTATAATATATATATATATATGTATATATAAATTTTCTTATTAATTCGTATAGATGGCAAATAATAACTTTGTTGCTTCAAATTTTATTTTCTTTTTTATGTCAAAATATCAAACTTATTTTAAAATTTTATTTATTTCGGAGTTTTATGAGTTTTCCGTATTTGATACTTGATTCTTGTTTTTTGATCGATGATCGGTTTGAGCTATTACCCATTGATTTTCTTGATGTTTTGAGCGATTTAAAAACTTTCTGGAATTTGGTCCGGGGCGGACCAGAAATCGGTCCACCGGACCGGGAGTTTCCGCATACCCTAGCACACGGGTCAGATCATAATCCATTCATTTACCTGCTCTCTCGTCGAAGATACAAGTAATAACTCGACTCTTTCGATCTTCATCGTTGATATCATCAATTCATCTCTACTTGTACATTACACATAGGTCGAGACTCACCATATACATAGTACAACCTCTCCTCACTCGGTTATCACCGGAATAATAAAAAAATACTATCGTTTTTCTGAAAACGTAACTCATCACCAATCTCAACCTTTCTGATACCGATATAACTCTCTCGATATCAAAACCTAACATCGCCTCCCGACGCCGCCGACTGCCGGACAAAGCAATTCTATGGTAACTCCCCCTCGCCGACCATCCGCCACCGGAGTTATTCATCAGGCTCGAGTTCAGCCTTTCAGAGTAGTCCGTAACACCTTATGATCGGGGGACACACGCAATAACTCGATCACGGGTTTCATTTGCCTATTATCAGGGGACACAAGCAACTCCCGATACCGTTCTATGGTCGATAGAACATTGGTGCAGTTACCGACTAACCGTGTTATCTCTCCACGCATATGTACTGACTACATCATCAATCGGGATAGACTCCGTAGATCTCTGGCTGCTCTCACTGTCCCTCGGGACGTTAGCGCGATCTTTGATCGCCACAAACACAATCATATCTCACTCGTATGGCATTCGACTCGGATCGATTGCCATACACTGAGCGTCCATTCATGGCACTCATCGGAATATCCATCAATAACATACATCCGTCTACAATCACACGCTAGACAATATCCAAACCCATTCGGTGTATTGTCTAACGTCATGTCATCTATCCCAATTCAATATCCTCAATCACATGCAATCACGCACTTTTGTTAGATCACACATACATGCGCCTCTGATTTATTAATAATTATAAGTTTTGAACTTGGGTCATTGATCAGATATATCTGTTTATATATTCATTATACGATTATTCTCATAAGTATACACACGCCTTTTAAGACTTTCCCTTTTTAATACGTTTTAACCTTCGAAACGATTAAATCGGGTTTCGTCCATCCGGATTACCGACTCCTTTTGTTCTGTGGTTTAGGGCTTACCGTGAAGTTTGAGTACATGTCGTAGTGAAGTTTAAGAACATGTCGTGTCGAACATTCCTTTATTTTGGTTCAGGTTGATTAGGTTTGGTCGGGGATTGGTCTGATCGGATCCAGATTGAACTCCGGACTGTTTCGAACATTTGGTCATGTGGTCAACCCACATGATCAACTGTCCAGAACGGTCCGGAGTTCAATCTGGATCCGACCATACCAATTTCCGACCAAACCTAATCAACCTAAACCAAAATAAAGGAATATCCGACACGATATATCATAAACTTTACGGTAAACCGTAAACAACGGAACAACAGGAGTCGATAATCCGGATAGATCGATACCTGATTTAATCGTTTTGAAGGTTAAAACGTATTAAAAACGGAAAGTCTTAAAAGACACTGTGTATGTATACTTATGAGAATAATCATATAATTAATGTATAAATAGATATATCTGATCAATGACCTAAGTTCAAGACTTATAATTATCAATAACTCAGAGGCGCATGTATGCATGTGATCTAACAAAAGTGCGTGACTGCATGTGATTGAGGATATTGAATTGGGATAGATGGCATGACGTTAGACAGTACACCGAATGGGTTTGGATATTGTCTAGCGTATGATTGTAGACAGATGTATGTTATTGATGGATATTCCGATGAGTGCCGTGAATCGACGCTCAGTCGTATGACAATCGATCCGAGTCGAATGCCATACGGATGAGATATGATTGCGTTTGTGGTGATAAAAGATCGCGCTAACGTCCCGAGGGACGGTGAGAGCAGCTAGATATCTATGTAGTCTGTCCCGGTTGACGATATAGTCAGTACATATGCGTGGGAAGGTAATATGGGTTCGTCGATAACCGCGCCAACATTCCATTGGCCATGGAACGATATCAAGAGTTTCTTGTGTCTCCCGATAGTAGGCAAATGAAACCCGTAATCAAGTTATTGCGTGTGTTCCCCGATCACGAGGTGTTACGGACTACTCTAAAAGGCTGAGCTCGAGCCTGATGAGTAGCTCCGCGGTGGATGGTCGGCGAGGGGGAGTTAGCATAGAGCTGCTCTGCCTGACAGTCGGCGGCTTCGAGAGGCGATGTCAGGTCTTGATATCGGTATCAGAAAGGTGTAGATTGGTGATGAGTTACGTTTTTCAGGAAAACGATAGTTTATTATTCGGTGATAACCGAGGAGAGGAGAGGTTGTTCTATGCACATGGTGAGTCCCGACATATGTGTGTAATGCATACATAGAGATGAACTGACGATATTTGTGATATCTTGAGCTACGATGAGGGTTGGGAGTGTTCATTGGTGTGATGACACATTCAAGGAACGACTCGCCAAATACCACTAAGGCCAAATGGATATAGGAATGAATCGAACGCATCCGAATGAGAGAGATCTGATGGCTGTATAGGGATGAGACTATACGGTCTGAGATAACATAAAAGAATTAGTTGGGTTACTCATAGCAACAAGATGCACCTACCTTTTTGGTTGGCTATCCCGAGAGACTTTCAAAGTTAAGCGTACTGACTCTAGAGCAATCTCAGGATGGGTGACCTACTGGAAAGTATCTCGGTATGCATGCGAGTGAGGAAAAAACACGCTGGAAGGTCCCGTGTTACTGTGTGAAGGCAATTTCGACAATTCGTAGCAGTCAGGGATCGTTACAGATGGTATCAGAGGCGGTACTCTCCTAGTACGGTGTGGTTCGAGGACAAATCAGACGGAAACTGGTGGACCTGTGATATCCCAAGATACAATGTGTTGGGGTTATCTACGAATGTGAGTGGCATTACAAGGGGTCAAACATCAAAACCTTCTGGAGAAATAAAGTTCTGAATTGTTTTGATCATCAACAGACCAAATAAAGAAAATACGCCACCATGCGCGTATTGCCAAGACAAGGAACAATAGGAGAATACTACTTAACTCATAAGACAAAACGAGTATAGTAGTATATGTACCAAGGATTCGATGATCATACTTGTATGAGCAAAGGTTCAACAAGATATGACTTCATCTATAAAGTGCATGTGACTGAGCGCATATCATGACTCACATCAACAAGGATATGTGAGTTCGAGCTGGGTTGTAATCTGATTAGACGCGCGGTATCACATCACGGGCGACATAACAAGTAAAGGAATTTCAAGAAAATGGCATCCAACAATTAGGACGGGATGTCATAACTTAAAAAGGAATGCGCAGCGGAAGCGTAGTGGTGGAATGAGAATATTCCAACACTATGTGGGAAAATGTAAGGTGAAGCATTCAACTAACCTTACTCTGAATTCGAGGACGAA